CAGAAAGAGTAAAGAAAATTTTTCATTAAAAGTCATCCAGAATCTGTCACTTATACAGTATTATTGTTGTCTCTCCTTTCAGATTTTTTGCTCTTTTATAAACACATAGATGGACCTCATTTTTGTTTTAAAAATACCTGTCATACTATTCTGTTGTATGACCAGATTTTTTTTCCTAAGAATATGTTACAGACATGTTTGTATAGCAATGTGAGGATGTTTTTTGTCATTTTTTTTCCTTCTTACCACCCCCTCCTTCCCTCAATTTCTATTTTTTATGAAGATGATTATAGCTCAGGGCTTAGTCAGTCAAAATACCTTTTGTGAGGTTAGTCATCATCTAAGTTTTTCAGTCAAAAAAAAAATCATTGAATTATACTTACCCTTTCTAAAAGATAAAGAATGAAGCAATTATGTGTTCCTTCTAGATTATTGAAATTTGTTCTTTAAATTAACCACTTAAGAAGTTTGTTGCCGTAGCCAAGAGTGGTAGCACACACCTCTAATCTCAGCATTCCAGAAACTGAAACAGAGAATTGAGTCCCAGGCCAGCCTAGGCTACATAGCAAGACCCTGTGACCCTGTCTTATAAATAAATAAATAAATAAATAAATAAATAAATAAATAAATAAATAAATTGCAATGTCAAGTACATCAGATATCTGACTGTGTTAAGGTTCAGATGTACCTGTGTCCTGTCTACTTTTTATCTTTAGTGACTGAAGTAGGCGAGGTCAACAGTTCACTTGAGAATAACAATTAGAAATATTTGCTGCACACAAGGGAGATACAAGGATAGGTAAGACACCTAAAAAATTAGCTAGCATTTGTTGCCCTCAATGCAGAGAAACTAAAGCAGAAACTTTAAAGCAACTGAGGCCAATAGGAGAAGGGGACCGGGAACTAGAGAAAAGGTTAGCTCAAGAAGAATTAACCTAGAAGGTAACAGAAATGCACAGGAAATTAATGTGAGTCGACTCCCTGTATAGCTATCCTTATCTCAACCAGCAAAAACCCTTGTTCCTTCCTATTATTGCTTATACTCTCTCTACAACAAAATTAGAAATAAGGGCAAAATAGTTTCTGTGGGTATCGAGGGGGTGGGGGAGAAAAGGAGGGGGCAGAGTGGGTGGTAAGGGAGGGGGTGGGGACAGGGGAGAAATGACCCAAGCATTGTATGCACATATGAATAATAAAAAAATTTAAAAGGAAAAAAAAAGAAATATTTGCTGCCCATTACTTCCCTGTGTTGCAGCCTTCTCCAATAAAAGGGAAGTGGCAAGAGAAGCCAGCTTATAACACTGGCGTTGTGAAGGGATGCCGGTTCTGGTTCACTGGACTCTAAGATGTGCTCAAAAGATTGAGGGATAGATAGTATATGGCACTGCTGTAGTCTGTTGTAAACATATGAAACAAATTGAAAAGACCACTTTTGCATTTGTACAGATAGGCAAGCAATGCTGCTGTTTTTGCAATTGCCAGAAATGAAGAAACTTAGTTCCTATTTGATTGTTCTTCAGATGGCTAAAGTAAACCATAACATTGATGGTGGTAGTCATACAATTTGAAATAATGTTTCAGGATACAATAACAAATGTTTTGGAAATACCTAATTTTGGTTGAAATACTCTTTTGTGTGTTCTGTTGTTGTACTAAAGCCTACTTTTTTCCAAAATATTTAGACACATAATTTTAAAACACTGTAATCTTGGTTTCCATACCATGCCCTTTGTCTACCCAATGCTCATCATGAATAGAGAGTAATAATGTACAAGTAGACTAAGTTAACTCTTGCTGAGACTTATGTTCCAAATTCTCTTCTAGATGCATACAAGTATACTCATTAGTGATGGAAGTGATATGGCCAACTAATGCCATTATTTGTTTGATGCTAATTGGCAGCTAAGCCTGTTGTCACTCTGATCCAGTATTATGAATTATTCCCAAGCATTGGAGCCCATCAAGAATCAGAACTCAGCAACACCACCTTTAATTGACTCAAGCTAGTTAATAAGATTCCTACCAGTTATAATGGTTTTAAAAATGGAAACTGTTTTGTTACCATTTCTAGGTATTTTGGAATCTAAGGGGTGGGCATAGAAAGTTTCACAACAGAAGTAGTCAGTAGAGTTCAGACAGAGGTGTAGGTCCATGTGATGATTCAGATAAAAATAATAGCATGAGCAAAGATTTCCTGTCCAAGTTCACACAAAAAATACTGTTTTCAAGTTTGCATGACTAATTATAAATATGAATGTTTGCATTTCTAATAGCTCGGAATTTTAGACCTAGAAGGGACCATAAGGAATCATAGTTGGCAACTCTCATTTTGTAGTTGAAGAAGATCAGAACTCAGAACTGATTTGCCTCAAATCTCACCCCCAAAAAATTAATTGTAGGCCTTGAAATGAATATAGATCCCCTGGCTCCTAGTACTCTGCTCGTGTTCCCTTGCAGCTCTCCAATCTGTTGGGCTTCTCAGAGTGACTATATTAAGACTCTTTTCCTTCTCGTATTGTTTTGCCTCCCTGAGCCTGAAGAACAAAAGCACTTGAATCTTTCTCTTGTCTAAAGTACCAATATATCTGGTGAAAACATGTCAGGAGATCTTGTTTTTAGGCCTCTGGATTCTCCTCTAGCTGCCGTTATTTTGCTAGCACTCGAGAATCTGAGTTAGGGGAAATGTTATTAAGCAAGTGCTTTTTTAAGTTCCACAGGTACCCAAACATGTGAATGTCTTGGATAATAAGCCAAGTAATAAAAAAAGATCAGATCATTAAATTACCTTACTAGCTTATGACTGGCTGAAAGCCCTGTGTTCCTTCTAGAAATAATGACAATTTTAAAGAAGAATGATACTTAAACACATCTTTGTTTGGATTCAATTAGGACTTCTTTGCCAGCTGGTAAGGTAGACTACCAGTAATAATGCTTTTTAAAAAGATTTAAACCATAATTTTTATAATTTTTAAAATCCATGAACATTTCAGGCAATGGAAATGTGTTTATATGTGCACTGGGCAAGTCTTCCTGGCCTCGGACACATCAGCTCCCCTAGGCTATTCCTGTTTTTCATTGCGGAAGAAATCCAAAATTTTCTTGTTTATGGTTGTCAGTGACTCTGGAGGTGTATTCTGAAGTATGGCCACTTGTAAATACAGGTCATTTATGCACTATCAACTTCTAAGTCAGGTCTGCCTATATTTGCTAATTGCATTAAGAGAAAAAGAAAGAACAAAATGTTTTTGTTGCTTTTGCCTAGTCTGGGATTTCAGGAAAGTAAAGGAACACTCTGGTTATCCAGAGCCAGATCTACTGTTAAAAGTTCATGCCATCATTTTGACATTTCGTGTTGGACTTTCTCTTTGTAAATCCCTCTTCACATTACCAGTGCTGGTCTCAGAGCTTAACCTGTTTCAAAACCATAACATTTCTTAGTGAGTGATTGATCTGTATTATGTGTCCAGCCATCAGGGGGATCTTGGGATGTTGCTTGTATAAACTGTAATCTAATCTGAGGCTGTGCATTTAGTTACAGTCTTTCATAGACCTTTTGGCGATATTCAATCCTCCTGGATTTGGGAATAGGGCTTATCTGATACCTTCAGGGGAAAAAAATCCATTCATTTTTCTCTCTTCCCCACTTAATAACTCAACACATCTGGTAACACTGTAGGATCATTGTCCTTCTATTTCCTCTACAGCTCATATTGCTACAATATTTCTTAAGTATTTAGTTACCTAAAGGACAATGTGATTAAAAAAAAAAAAGACTGTATAGATCTTACAAATTAACCCATCTGTAGAGCTAGAAAAAAATACGCCTTTAATCAGCAAAATTTCCATATCAGCAGCCCTGTGTGTGTTAGGCAGTATGAATGTAAATAGAAAATTGGAGATAAATGCTCACGTGTTAAAATTTTAAAGCAAGCCTTTCTACAAATTAATGTAATTTGCTTCCAAGAAAGTGTCTATTAAATACAGGGTGCCTGAGATTAAAGTGCCTTGTTGTTTGGGTCTGTATCCTTTGACTTAATAATGTCTTCAATTACAAGAATGATAAAAGCTGAAACAAAATCCTTTAATTCAATCAAAACTGAGCTAAATTTTAGGAAGCAAAGAGTAAAAATCAGATACAGGATTGCATAATTTAGGAAGTTAAATACACCAGATATTAAGGCTTCGCTTAATAGGGTTGGCTATAGAGTTGGCTTGAGGAATTGTTGTTTGAAATGGCTGCATTGAACATTATCATTTATACCACTGTTTTACCCTCTTGAATTAAAATGCTTTATGCAAGCAACTGCAAATTGTGTAGTAGCTCCAAAGAGACCATTTATCATTTTCTGCTTGTTTTTCATTCTGGAGCAAGTTCAAAGCTTTTGACTTTGCTTGAATTTTTAAAAAATAGTATCAGACGTAAAAGTAATACAGGTTTGATGAATACAATCTCAATATTGTGGTTCTGTAAAAATTTTCAGTGTTTATAGTACATCTGACTTGGGCCCTACACCAAATATATCCACAGTGCATTTTAAGTACAACAGAATGAATGCGTTTGAAAGATTAACCAGTCTCTTGCTGTTGCTTTTCCTTCTATATTATGTATAAAAATTAGCACTGTAATGACTCCCAGAATGGAAGTACTGAAAGTATTCACTTGACAGAAATAAACATGCAGAAAATAAATTGAGGTTATATTTCATTATCTGAAATTTAAGCTTGTGTTCAAAATGGCTGTTACTAGATTTTCATGTATATAGGTTAAATGCTATGCTTGTAAGATTTTTTTTGCTGGAATTATGACTGAAAAAATTAGATCACAGCTTTGACATCCAGGTGGGCAATACCACTTGCCAGAATCATTGCATGTAACTCCAGTTTTTTTCTGTCAAGTACAAATCCTGCCTTGCTACTAAGCCTTCTGAAGCATTCTAAGGTAAAAATGGGGATAAATTTTTTCAGTGTTTTTTTTTTTTTTTTTTTTTTCTGTCTTTTAGGTTGTGGAACTTTTAGCAAGTGCTCTTATGGACTTGGTACAAGGAGTATACCAGGAAAATTCTACTTCAGCCAAGGTAAAGGATTTTGGACTCATTGTGAAGTGTTAGATTAGAGGCACTTAATGGCAAAACTAGAATTGATGAGTGAAAATGTCATTCTTGTTTTGTGTTTAAACTGTACATGACTTTTTTTTTAGATTAGTGTTTTGGCTACAAATTCATGGCCATACGCTTAGTACATAGAAGATTTAGCCAATTAAAACAACCTCTTATCCTGTGGCTGGTTTCACAGTCTGTTCAGTGTGCAGCAGCTCAGTAGACACCAAGATGCTTCTGGCAGGCAGGTAGCTCTGTCATAAGGCAGAAAGACTGAAGGAGCAGCTTGTGCTGAGGTGCGTGGCCCAACCTTTCCCCCAAAGGAAAAGACCTTCCCCATCCCAGAACTGTGGACCAGAAGCCCAAGAACATGGCTGTCAAGAAGGTGGGGGAGAAATGTGTTTTATATATCCAAGATCCAGAATTTGCTGCATTATTAGATTCTTTGGGATAAGAAATAGGACAGTTGCACCGTTGGATTATTTTAATTTTATAGGTCTAGAATTAAGGGGTTTTTGACTCATTTAGCAGGTCATCTCAGGAAAGGATAGGTTTTATTTCCTTAAGATACAGCTGTTTCATTTCAGTAGGAGATTGATACGAAGTAATTGCTTCATTGACCACAACCATCATTTACCATGGTGTATACTATTATAAGGGACTCCTTTCCTAGTGTTCCATTATTCTAACTTCTTTAGCTTCTGTATCAGCAAGACTTCTTTCACTAAAAATAGAAAAAGTGTCCATGTGTACACATCCGAAGCATTAACACATTCATTTGAAAAAAAAGGCAAATTTTACTAGAAGTGGAACATAGGGCATGAGCAACTTGGATAAAAAATTCTAAAGTACAGCGCAGGGACTCTGGGTGGTTTGTAGAATAGCTAGTGAAATATGAAGAACTGTACCTTGGACATCTGCTAGCATGTGGTTCAGGAAACCGCAGGTCCTAGGAGGCACATCTAACCTTACCTAAGCAGTATATTGATACGTGGGGCCTCATGAAGTAGGACCCAGATGTAGGATCATAGAGGACCCTCTTTGCAGTCTTCAAAGATAAGCATGGTTCTCTACTATGACTGAAATTATAAAAGGGGTAACTTCTGGTCTAGCTCCACTTACAGAAAGTCAGCTTGGGGCTGGTGGAATGGTTCAAGCAGTAGAGTACCTACCTAGCAGCACAGTACCACCAAAAAATAATATATATATAAAAAGTCAGTTTATATATATAGTGTGATGAAGATGATGATAGCTTATAATGTAACACTGTGGCAAATGATTTCCCTGTGTTTAATCTTCACAGAAATCCTGAAAGGTAGAGGCTATTGCTAATCCCATTTTACAGATATGAACATTGCAGTTTTGAGAACATTAAATAGGCCAAGCATGGTGACACACATCTATAATTCCAAGCTCAGGAGACTGAGGCAGGCAGATTTTAAGTTTGAGTCCAGCCTGGGCTATATAGCAAGACCCTGTCTCAAAAGGAAAAAAGAAAACCTTAAATAATTTTCCCAAACTCTTATATCTTCTTAGCTAGGATTTGAGCTCAAAACCCTAATTTGACTCTTAGCCCCTTCTACTGCTTCTCTGCCTTGGTGAAACCTGACTTGACAGCCACTTCTGCCATGTCTGAGTTCTTACCTTCTGACGATTATAGCCACCTATTTGAGCAGCTGAGGCATTGTTTTCCCCTGGGATTCTTCTCAAATGTTCAGCTTAATTCCATATAGTATTTTACAATTAAATACCTATTAATTTTGGGTTTTGTTGTTTTTGAGACAGGGTCTCACTGTTAGCCTAGTCTAGCCTCAAACTCCTGATCTTCCTGCCTCAGGAAAATCCTGAGTACTGGGATTAGAATGTGTGCCACCAAGCCTGGCAAATATCTGTTAATTTTTAAGTGAAAGTGTTGTTCTCAGTTGAGTCTCTTAATTTATCCACTCTTACCGTTTATCCACTATAATTATCCCAATTTATGAAAAACTTTGTGAACATTTGATAAGTACTCTGTATCAGGCAGACCTAATAGCAACAACAGTAATAAATACTTAAATAGCACTTCCCGCTTACTTGTACTTTTTTGTTGTTGCTGTTCACATTCATTTAGGCTGAAAAAGGTTGTTGGTATTCCCATTTTATAGAGGAAAAGCCTGAAATTCAGAGATGACAAATGACAGGAAAGCATAGTATCTAAAAATTACTTGGTAATACATGTTTGACTATTAGCTCTAAGCCAGGGATTTTGATTCCAAATCCCATCCTTTTTTGTTGTTGTTGTTGTTCAATATAATCTGTTTCTTTCTGAGAAAGAGAAAAGAGGAAGCAATGAAGACTTTGAAGAACTGTTGCTCATACCACAACACCCCTGAGTAAGCACCATTTGCTGACTTTCTCATTAGTCAATAAATTTTACTCAAAAGAATCTGTAACAATGCTTTGTTCATCTGGCCTGTCTCCCTACCACCTCCCCAAACATAGCACTTGAGTCTTTTTTAAGCAGTGAAGTTTCAGAATATAGCTAAATCCTTAAAAAGGAGCAGGTTTTTTTTTTAAATAATGGAAACAAAAATGCATAGTTGAACGGCAGCAGTGGGAGTGCTTCTTGCTCCTCCTTTTTCCTTTTGCACCCTAGGTCCAATTTAGGTTAACCGCATTTCCCTTCCTAACCAGAAAAATTCAGGCTTTTTTCTTCTTTTTTTGAGTGTGCTTGCCGTAGCAATGGCTTTTCAGAATTGGTTTTTCTTACTTGTCCAGAAATCACTTCAGAGGCAGAGAGAGAGAGAGAACCGTCCCCAACATTGGAGTGCCTTCCAGGTTTTCATGTTCTGGGAAGCAGCCACAAGTGGAGGTCACGTGGGACTTGAGGGCTTCTGTGGGACTGTGTGGTTCTCTTTTGCGCAACCTCTGTAGCCTTGGGTCAATTCAGCACACAGTAGAATTGCTTTGTGATGTAAAATAAGCTGCAAATCATTTCTTCTCTCTAGGGATAAGAGGATACGATACAATAGTGGTCGCTTTCTATATGACAACTTAACGCAGTGATCGAGAATGCAGTAGTAGGAAACTAGCTTTCTGTGGAGTCGTCTCTATGTGACTTGTGTAGATGCATTAAAGCAAGCAGAAGGCAGTTTGATCTGGAAATGTTAGAAATCACTTTCTCCAAAAGAACTTTGTAAGTACCTAATTCTCCTGACAGCAGTTACATTACTAACACTACTTAATAGATTGTAGATAAATTGTGATCATGGAAACATGAAAAGTAATTTGGGAGATTCATCCTTTGTTCTACCCATTGAAAAAGATTCTTATTTTTGTATTTGCTTGTTTGTGAACCATTTCTTCATCACAATATAAAATAGCTATTGTACTTTTTGTGTGTCTTTATAAGAAAATATCTTCCCTCTCTCTTACTGTTTTTTTCTGTAGAAACCAATTAAAGAAAGAAGCATGTTAAATAAAAATACTGCATTTTAAATGGTCATTTGCCATTCTAAGAATTCCCCAGTTAAACTCTGTTTTATTTGTACTTATTTTACTAACTCTACATTTTATTTTACATCTTATTTTACATTTTAACAAAACCGACTGTGGATTCACAGGCCTAAATATCTAAAATCTTTTTAACACAATTATCTTATTATTATAATAACTTATTTTCTGATTAGAAAAACAAATACATTTTCATTAAATAAGAATTAAAAACACAGAAAAAAAGGTCAAGAGGGAAATAAAAATTATTTTATATAGCCATCCCCCAGAAATGAATCATGATTATATTCTAATATACTTCTTTTTAGATTTCATTCTGTAGTTCTCCCATTTTTTGAGTTACTGCCTTATGTATATAAAATTTAGTATCTTGATTTACTTTATTGTCATTAAAAGTTTTCAAAAGTACAATTTTAATGGCTATTTAATGTTTTTGACACTATTGTACTATAATTTATTGAACTTATTGAACTATTCTACAAAGTTTAAATACTTTCTTTATATTGTTAACTAATTTAAATAATATTCTGTTAGCATTTTAGTGTATATAACTTTCCTTTATTTTATGCTATTTGCTTTAAAAATCCTGGTGCTGGAGATGTAGCTCAGCAGTGGAGTGGTTGCCTAGAGTGTGCAAAGCCCTGGATTTTATCCCCATACCACAAAAACAAAGCAAATCTTGAAAAGTGAAATTCTTGAATCAAAAAATATGAAGATTTTCAATACATCTCTGTGCAGGAAAGAATTACCATTCTTAGAAAAGCTTGCTAGTAAAGTTGGCCCTTGACTGTCATCTGGAAACTTGGAATTTAGAAATGTTCCACCATTCTCCAAATGACGAGAATGGTTCATAGTGCTTAGGTTGTTCCTGTATACAGTGTGGTTTGTGCTAAATGGCTGTTTTCCTTCTGAGAGTCTCGAATGTGGTACATGCCATACAAACAGTGCCTACATGACCAACCCTGAGCACTGGGTCTCCCATAAATTTCTCTAGTAAACAGATTTTCATACTTATTCTCACAACTCATTGCTTGAAGGATTAAGTACATCCAGTGTGACCACTGGTAGTGAACTCTTGGAAGCTTGCACCTGGTTTCCCCCAGACTTCATCCAATGGGACTTTTTCTCTTTATTGGTTTTGCTCTGTGTTCTTTCATTATAAATTTTTTTAAAATCATAACTGATTTTTTACTATATTCTGAATATGAATCATCAAACTTGGGGGTGGCCTTGGGGAGCCTCTCAACCTATTTTCTGATAATGTATTGTTTATTTTCTACCAACCCCTGTTTCCTCCTTAGGAGTCTACCCAAGGTCTTTTGGAAAAACTGTCTCTGACTCAAATTGGTATTGAGAAGGGGATCAGCACACCTCTATCTTCCAAGGCTCTACTTAGGAGTTGACTGTCCCCAGACCCAGGAAAATGAGAGGTTTTAAAGACAATCCAGTTCTCTTAAGAAAGTGACTGGTTTTAACAGTTACTGAAA